AATAAGTCGCGGCTATCACAATGATCGCGTTTTCTCGTTTTTTCTTCCTCTTCTTCTGCTTCTTCTTCTTACTACGTTTTGTACAACAGTCTCTGTGGTTTATCTCTTATCAAAAGAAACGAGAGATATCGTTTCGTATCAAAATGAAATTCCTTGCGAACGTCCGGCATACACGGAGCGCACGATACGGTCCAAGCTCGGTCTCGCTGCTCTTCTTCGTCCTCCCTTGGTCGATCTTCCTCCCTCTTTTCCGCGGACGCGTGATCTTCCTCTTTCTCGTTTCTCGCCGTTTCGACCTGGCCTCGCGTTTCGCACCTGCGAAGAAAATTTGCGACGCAAATCTGCGGACTGAAATGCCGGCCATTTTGGTTCTTCTTCTCCGCGTCGATTTCCCTCGTCGATGAAACGGCCCTATTTTCATCCCTGAGCCCTCGTTCGGGGTGTCTTTCCCTCCTCTTTCCCGCGATTCGTCCGTATTTATCTGCGACACGCACCCCCCGAGGAGTCGGCTGGTACAAGCGACGGAAATGTCCGCCTCGAAACGGAAAAACAAGGCATATGCGTTATCGCGGCTCTTCTTTTAATCCCCGACGAAACGGCCCCATTTTCCTCTCCTCCTCCCTCCGCGTCTCGCCTTTCCAAGAATTTCGTTAACCACGGAAAATTCACCGGTACACTTTGACCTTCCCTCTTCTTCCGTGAGATCTCTCTTCTTTCTTCCGTTCTTCCTTGACGATCCCGATCTCTTTTCCTCTTGCTTTTCTTCTTTCCCTCTCCCTGCCCTTCCTCGTGTCGCTCTCTGTGCGCTCGCATGTGTGTGTGCGTGTGAGTTCACGGTTTCGAAGAGTGTCAAAATCGGAAATCCTCGCGAAGAGGGTATCGACCGTACCCTCGCGATACTCTAGTGACGATCCTAGTCCCGAACTTCGGCGCTAATTTTCCTGCACTTTCGGGAGAACCGCGAAGTCCAGGTCATTCCGCGACCGAGTATCTTCGCGCATTCTTGTACCTTGATAACTCAATCATGAATAACACCCCTGATAAATAATATCCGAGATAAAAAATGAAATATGAAGCCGACGCGAGTAAGCGCGTCGTCGTCGGTCACTTGTAACAAAGTCCCAGGCAACGAGTTCCTACTAAATTCGAAACCTCGCAGGTACATCCCAGATAATTGAATAAAAAGTATACGAAGTACTCGATGACTCGTTAAAAATGGTTAATAAAATCCGGAGCTAAGAATCTCGGTCTCGGAATGGCCAAAAAACGTCAACCACGCGAGTCATCCCGCGTTGGCGCCGACCCGAATCGGGGCCGAGTTGATTCCAAATGATTTTGCACTAATTAACCTAATTCCTGCCCGGCTTGCCAAACTCTCACCCGCAGGTGTAATTGGCACTAAACGGCGAGAGATTGCAAGAAACCTCGACATCTATCCGAGGGTGGAACCAACGCAAGACGCCTCCTAAACATCGCAGAAGAAGAAACGAAGAGCTGTCAACTCGGATCGGGCAAATCTCTCAGACGAGTGTCATTATTCGTTAAGTGTTTTCTTTACTCTACACATGGTTTGACAGAGTGTTATACGCCGGCGACTCTGTCGGTTTAAATAGTATATTTAATATGTCGTATCGGTAGAAATTTGCCGATCCGCGAGCGCGGGCTTGACAGGGGCACGATGGAGGTCGTAGAAACGGATTGACGAAGATCGGTTTTGGCACTGGCAGGAAGGAGCGAAATGGCTCCCTCCCTTTGGGTCCGATTTCTATTTCGACGTCGGGCCGAAGTTGGAGGACTAGGACACTCGTGTCGGAAGTTCGGATTACGTTTCTTCTACGAAAGAACGAGTCGAGAGTCGCTGTCCCCGGTCGGGGGTCGACCGGCCGGCTGATCGATCGGCGACTTCTACTCGAGTCAGCTGATCGATCGCTCCGGCAGGCAGATGTCAGCTGATCGATCGCTGGCCTTTGCTCGAGTAGCCAGAAGTCAGCTGATCGATCGGTGACTTCTGCTCGAGCTACCGGAAGTCGGCTGATGGGGCCAACCAGAAGTCAACGGGACGAAGAGGTACAAGGAGACGTAACGCCTAAGGTCGGTTTCACAGAAAATAGACCCACTAGACAAAAGAAAAAACGTTTACACTTTAACTAAAGCCTTGCCAATAGAGTCTCACTCCTGCAGCTACAATAATTGCACCAACGGCAAATGCAATTGTAACAAATGTGGATGTAATTGGGGAGCTTCTTAACATTTGCTGGAGTAAGAAAAATTTGTTATCACGGTTGCGAAGTACTTTTCTACGGGGCAGAATCGAGATTCTCGGATTTTCGCTGATATAAGGATGCGAGTACTATTTGTGGAAAATGTAGGAATTCCGACCCTACGTGACCAGAACATTTCCTACCGATTTAAACATCCTAAAACGCTTTTAATTTTGCAATTAGGGTACGCAACGTGTAATGTTAATCCGCTTATATTACCTGAAATCTGATTTTTCAACGCGACAAAGACTAGCGTACAGGCTAGTAAACGATAATTTTGATTTGCAAAGTCTCACCGAAGAGGGAACTCTCTCTTGGAACTAGATTAATGAAAATCCGAAGATTTTTTACTCTTATAATGGGACCGACTTCGATACATGACATTGTATCTCCTTATACTACTTCCTGATCTTTATGTAACCGGAAGTTAGTCGATTAATCCCCGACTTGAGGTAATTAATTGGAAGTAATTTAACGCATCTCCGTAATTAAAAATTTGGCCAGTCAGTCGGTGATTTTCAATCTACCTTTGACTTCTCCGATTGATCAGAGGATTGATCCTAATCCCGAGATTGGCAGTGCACAGGGCGACAAATCCAACGTGATACGTCACGGAGTAATTAATTCAATCACCCAGCGGCGGTACAATAATTCTTCGTCCGATTACATTTATAGTCACGATAAAATGACTTCGTGGTGCATTTACCATTTATATTACTCGCCTCGGGCCACTGAACCACTATCCGGCGTCGAGAAAACTATTCCCTTGAACCATCACCGGCGAATCAGGCAAAGTTCTTGGATTCAATTAAACTTGACTTAATTCGCGAGAACTTCGGTTGACTCGAACGAGGTCTAATCAAATGTTCGCCCACTTAGATGACATTCAGATCAACCAAGCGGCGCTGTCACGGGGAGTAATTGGTTCACCCAACAACGTAGGTCGAAAAGTCGGACCCTTGTTTAAGTCAACCGAAGTTTACTTCTCATTAAAAAATGTCGCTTCTTCGCCGGTGACAACTTCAGTCGAATATCTCTCTCACAATCATTGCGCATACCACGAAGTTGTATAAGGAGATACAATGTATCGAAATAATACGTAGATACAATGTATCGAAATCGTCCCTACTTTAGGGGTCCAAAATTTCCAGATTTTTTTCTGACCTAGGGCCGAGAGCGCGTTCTCGATGAAATTTTACAATTAAAAATTATCGTCCGCTAGTCTTTATCGCGTTAAAAACATCACATTCTGAATATTCTGATATTCAGAATATCATATATATTAAATGTCTTGGTCACGTAAGATCGGAGTTCCCTAATTTTCCGCAAGTATCGCTCGCATCGTTGTATCAGCGAAAATCATAGACCCTGGGTCCTGATTCTAGGGTCACATTCTGTGGAACCGACATTAGACGCTACATCTCCTTATACAACTTTATTATACGTCCCTTGCCCGACTTGACCAATTTTCCAACAGGTGGAGACCACTGTCAAGGATGGACAAGAGACAGCGACCATCGACACTTCAAAGGAGCGAGACATTTTTCTGCAACGAGGTACCGTACGGTGCATCCACATCGGCGCAATTAAACCCTCCGCAGCGTTTAAGGACCTCTATCTCGAGGAAGTCTGTCCTCGAGTCCGAGTCCTTAGGGGAACGAGTTCCATCGCGCCGCACCCTACGACCCACCACCCGAAAAAATTGGCACAGAATCCAGAGACCACCAAACGAACGACGGAAAAACACCAGGGTTCCGGCAGAAGTTCTTCCTCATCCCCGTGTCGGGGAGCGCTTACAAAACCCCATAGAAAATTACAAAACAACTCCGGGAAACGCCACCGGCCCTCCCCCCGGTCGGAACATCACCGGGGATTTGTGTGCGAGCTACAGCCGCGATTCGTACACTGTCGAACGCGAACGGCTTCCCCGCAGATGAGGTATCACCGGCTTACAACGAGAAACCATTCGCGTCCATAGCTGTACATCCGTTTCGCAACAAGTGGCGGGGACGCCCCGTACGGTACCCAGAAAAGGGTCTGTCCAGAAGACGGAAGAAGCCCGCCGGGGATCACCCCCGGATCGAGGGGCCTCGAGACGGGATAACCGAGAGATTCGCTCGCGAGTTCCCCTTCGGAGGCCTCGAAGAGGTCCCCGAAGAGTCCAGCCGGGTCGCCGAAGGTCAGGGGCCGGTCTAAAAATCCGGCACCCCGTGATTGTTGAATCTCCGGCGGTCCCCTCGAGTCCCCTCCCCGAGCCCGCGATCGGGACCGAGCCTCTATAATTTAATATCTATGCATATATATATATATTCATTTATTTATATATATACCATATTGTTTTGTTTTAGATAGGGCAGTGTCGTGGACGGCTACGGACCCGCGCCTCGGCGGGGCCGTATCCCAAATGGTTAGTCTCGTCCTACAAGTATACATACTATTTAATAAGTACATTTCAACAACCGTCTCTCCTTTTATACCTCTAAGTTAATAGGTTTATCGTTATTACTCCCGCCCGCGCGCCGGCTCGTTGGATTCGTCATGAAAAAGATTTGAAAAAAATGAGTCCACTCCCCTCCCCGGCTCCCCGTCGTTACACAACTATGGTAATAATAACGATTAATAGGTATGCGTATGTGTCTGCGTGCGCGACAGAGGGGGCGCCGTCGGTGCCGACGTCGGGGTCGGCGTCGCCGGCGTCCGTAGAATATCGATCTCTATCTAGGGGATCGGCCCCCGGCATTAAAGTCTGTCCTCCTCCTCCTCCTCGTTGTCCTCGTTGTTCTCCTCGGACTCCTCCTTGTACCCGGGGTGCTCGGAGATGGCGTAGTAGTTCCCGTTGTAGATAACCCCGAGCTCGCGCAGGACGTCGCCGCGGATGATGGCCTTGATGGTCCAGTTGTAGCACTCCTCGCTCTCGCTCTCGCGGTCCAGCCTCTCGACGTCGAGGATCTTGGAGCTGAGCCTCTCGAGGATGATGCCGATGTCCTTGATGCTGAGGTGGTGCTTCTGGTCGACGGTCAGCTGGTCGATCAGCAGCAAGAACTTCTCCGAGGTGACGATCTCGTCCTCCATGATGGTGTTCTCGGTCTCGGACTCGGAGCTCTCGTGCTCCTGGTGGAGGTGGTTGTTGCGCGGGTGGGCCGCCTGGTGGGCCTGGTGGTGCTGGTGCAGGTGGTAGGGCCCCGAGTTGGTCAGCCGGGCCTCGTCCTCGGCGGTGTCGCGGAACCGCACGTGGCCCTTCACCAGGCCCGGTCGCCGCGCGGGGTCCGACAGCGAGGAGGGCGGCTGCGGGGAGGGGGTTTGGGCCTGCGCCTGCGCCTGGGCCTGAGCGTCCTGGATGGGGGAGGTGGCCACCGACTTGTGCACCGCGATTCGCCGGCCCTCCTCGTGCAGCGCGCAGCAGTGGAAGTCGCACTCCCCGGGCGCCCCGCTGTCGGGCCCGTTGACCGGGCTCCCGTTCCGGGCCACCGGCTGGTGGATGTGGTTAGAACACTCCGGTGTGTGGATATGGATGGTGGTACTGTCGAAAGAATTAGTACCTTGCTTGACGAGGCGGCTAGGCATACTATGCTGCGACGACGACGATATCGAGCCCGAAGCCACGATCGGCCCGTAGGAACTATTACTCGGACTAGTAAAACTCTTCTGTACCATATCGTCATGATTTATCACAGTGATTTGGGGGCTGGGGTAGCGACCGCCCAGCTCGCCCGGGTGCCCCGGCTTGCCCGGGTAGTTCAGCTTGTCCAAGCTCGTCTGGATCACCAGAGAGGGTCGCTGCGAGGAGCTCAGGTCCGCCTTCTTCGTGGGAGAGTACTTCGAGCTCTGCGCGTCCTGGGCCTTCGGCTGCTGGACCTGCGAGCTGGACCGCTGGTCCCAGTGCAGGACCACCGTGACTCGGCCTTTATTGTCCATGATCTTCCAGGAGGGCGTCTCATCGTGCAACTCCAACGCGTGGATCGTCTCGCAGACTATTTTCGGGATCGCCGAGATCGCTGCGAACACACCGTCCGGATCATCTTAACGAAGCACGAATCACATCTGGAGACCGTCTTTCTACAAACTAAATATCGGTTGTACGAATTGCAATTCTTGTCGTGTAAAAAATTGGACAAGACTTAGCTCGTCTGCCGTATGTCGTCCGAATCGGGGGTAACTACTTCTGTCCCCGTGACTCGATTCGACATCGGCGATACTTTACGCGAGACGATCGCGGCCCTTTCCGTCCCCGTTCGTTCCTCGTTACCGAGAACGTATGCAATATTCGCGTCAAGGTAACGTTTAACGTCTAATTGCAAATCGTTTCGAGAGCATCCCTCGAAGGGTTTGGGAGAAAAATAAGCGTATGTACCCAGGAATGATTGCCCTCTATGTACGCCCCATGTGACACGTACACGAAGATCCATTCCTTTGACGTCTTACGCCCTGCCTCCTCGAGGAAACGCGCCTCTCGATTCGTAATGTTCACCATTTTCATCAACAATGAGAAAAAAAAAACAAAAAAGAGAAGAAGAAACTCTACCGCTGATCGCTTCTTTTTTTAAACCGCTTTCTTTTTTAATTAACGCTTTAATGTCCCGATCGGAAGTGATGCTGGATGTAACGACTCCGTAAAATGACATCTTGCTGGTCTCGGATAAATTAGAAGTTATTTCGTGAAAATTAAATATGAAAATGGCGAACGGCTAGAATCGATAGAAACGATATCACAAAATTCGGACGGAACGTAACGCGACGTTTCTATCTCGGAACCTCATTTGGCTGTAAAGGAACGAGGCGGGTTCGTTAGATTTTCCTTTTGGGGAATAATTGATAAGGTGTGTTGTCAATATACCGGCGCGAATGATGTCAACTCCGGTCGGACACCACCGTTCGCCATGCCTTAGAAGAAGCAGGATCGTGTTGTTGGCTAAGGTCTTGAAGTATTCCCCGTCCTCGACTTGAGTCCCATCCGACTCGAGTACTAAGCAGACATTCTCGTTTTGAGGCACGCCCAGCTTTTCCTTCCCTGCAAGCGGAACCAGATGACAGCTCGTGAGAAAACAGACGAGTCAATGGTAAAGTGAATTTTCAACACCAATCGGGAAGGAAAGGTAAATAAATCTCTATTCTGGGAGAGAGGACTCTTTCCTCCGGCCCAAATGGCTCCGAAAAGTCCTCCTCAAATACCAAGTCCGGAGGTAAAGAGGCCCTGAGCTTTTCGCCAGGTGAACTTGCCGTGGTTGCACTTTCCCGAAATTCCACGAGATTGGGACGAGGGACTCTTTAATATCTTTACGCTTGGACATCCGAGTATACGAGAGACTCCATTGATAAAATGACATCCGACCGAACGAACTGGACTAGGAGATGATTTTCGATGTGAAACTTACTTCCCGGTAATTGCGCGCGTTAAGAGACGGAACCGTAATAGTATCTACATTTTCTACATCATCGTATCTACATTTTAATGTTACGAAGACATGGACACTGTAATGAAAACATTTCCCACTTAGTAAGTTTCCTTGTATCAATAGCGGGATTCCTCTACAATTTTCCATTTTCCCCAATTTTTATCTAAGGAGTTCCACGTTCGAGTTTCATATCCTCGCCCATTCGGATCCAACGGTCGATGGGAGAAGTTCGGTAGAGCTTCGCGCCAAATACACGAGGAAGAGAAAAGAAGAGCGAACCGAGGTTCCGCGGACAGTTCCCAGCGCCATGGGCAAAATAATCAGGAAGCCGCAACGCCGGTTAACCCTCTCGGGGAAAAATCCCATCCCCTTCGAGCCTCGAACCACGGAGGGGCAAACCAAGAATCCGGAACCGTAATAGGTCGGTTTCGGATCCAAGTGGCCCTCGGGTCCCCAAGTTTCGCTAAAACTGTTGGTGCACCCGGGCCTTAATGACCGGGCTTGTTAAGTCCCTCTGAAAAGCTCTCCGGGGGATGGGAGGGTTAACAGCCAATTAGAACACTGGCCGGGGATCCGTCTGGTTAGGAGGATGGAAACGTGAAAGATTAATCGAGGCTTGGGTCAGGGATGAATCTTTTACCTCGATGGAGCAGCTCCTCGAAATTGCTAACGACCAGGCCTTTTCTTACGTTTCGCCAGCTGTCCCATATCTTGAAAGGTCTCTTGCCCCGTAACTCCTGCGACAGAGAGATCACTTCGGTCAGTTCCTGCTCGACGAGGAAGCACAGGCCGATCCTGGCAGCCTCGTTGTCGGACATGGCAATCGATGCCCGAGGGAGGACTCTCTTTCGCGGGATATATTATCGGCGAATCCGGAGCCGGCCACCCCTAGGCACGACGTAATCGCCTTGGACTTGTTAACTGGGGTGTCCATACTGGGTCACCGGACAGCTTACCTTGCATCCTTTATGGCCGCCGCAAAGGGGAGAGGCCAGTCCTTTGTGCGTCCTGCGTGTCGCAAAAATGTATTCCGGGATAATGCAATTTTACGGCGACGGCCTATCGCGACCCGTGACGCAGAGCCTGACATTACCGGACGCGTTTACACGGACTGCTGGAGAAGGTCGCGAAATGCCGATTTGGTCGCCTCGCTGGAGGTCTTTAAATGTCCCGACCAAGGAAGAGGAGGAACCATGCGAGGACCTAGACCTGGGGGAAGGGGACAAAAATTAAAATGCACGATCCTGAAGCGTGGTTTTTTTTTGGAATGGAGCGAGAATTCGCAAAGACGCCTCGTCTTGTTATGGTTACGCATTTACCGATAAATCGTAGCGTTTTGTAATCTGAGCAGGTCGAAAAATACCAATTTGGTCGCTGGAGGTCTTTAAATGTCCCGACCAAGGAAGAGGAGGAACCATGCGAGGATCGAGACCTGGGGGAAGGGGACAAAAATTAAAATGCACGATCCTGAAGCGTGGTTTTTTTTTTAAACGGAGTGAGAACTCGCAAAGACGCCTCGTCTTGTTATGGTTACGCATTTAACGATAAATCGTAGCGTTTTGTAATCTGAGCAGGTCGAAAAATACCAATTTGGTCGCTGGAGGTCTTTAAATGTCCCGACCAAGGAAGAGGAGGAACCATGCGAGGACCTAGACCTGGGGGAAGGGGACAAAAATTAAAATGCACGATCCTGAAGCGTGGTTTTTTTTTTGGTACCTAGTGAGAACTCGCAAAGACGCGACAAGTGGAGGAAAATTTAGAAAGGATTTTGTGGAGTCTGAAAGTACGTGCTTGAAATATTTTCCCTGATATGTCCGCGATGTTTAGGGGTAAATATTGTAAATGATTAAACGTCTATTAACGATAAATGCGTTTTGTAATCTGGGAAGGTCGGAAAATGTCAATTTGGTCGCCCTGCTGGAGATCCTTTAAATACTTGAGGGAAAAGGATGAGAAATTATACGAGTACTGAGACCAGGGGGAAGAAAACGACAGAAATTAAATTACATGATTAACAAGCGCTTCTTCTGGAAAAAAGTGAAGACTTGTAAATACGTGACAAGTAACCTGTAGAAGAAAATTCAAAAACGATAAACCATAGCGATTTGTAACCTGTACACTTAAATCGAGTTCCTCTATAGCGTATACGCGTCAGTTAAATCTGTACAGATTTATCGGAATGACCTATCGTTAGGTGTTTAGCCACCTATACAAGTTTTATACCGTACTTTATATCCCTTTGAAACATAATTCATTAAGAGGAATTCCATTTGAAAAGCCAAGTCACCTGCGAGGACATTGGCTCTGTACATTTTGGCAGGGATTTCCTGCCATGTCAAAGAATCCGAATCGCGGTTACTCCTGACACTACTGGGTCAAGAACTTTTATTCTTCTGGGTACGGCTGTCCTAGAAAAGTGGTAATCAACGTGTTTTTAGAGCAGCGTACAGAGCTGAGGATAGATATTCCCCGTGAATGGGTACGAGTAGAATTCCAACTAGAACTAGGACGTGCAGGACCAAAAGTGGTATATCCTACGTCCATCGCAAAAGTTCGCCGAATCCGGCACGTACCCTGAAGCCTGATTAACCGAACTTTACTTCTTCCTGACGCTATTTCAGAGTTCGATCGGAATTATCCTTTTTGCGACTCTAGAGAGAAGTCGCGAAGAACGTCAAAAAATTCTCAGATATTGCCTTTACCTCGTTAACAGTTCATTATCGTTGTACGGGAAAATGTTGGAATTTTCTACCTTTAATATTCTACCTCCGATGAAATCACCGAGGGAAAATTACTCACCCAGAGAACAAAAGTACTTAGGGTTACGTTTTTAAATACCGAGTAATCGACGCACCAACCTTCCGACCTTAATGGGCGAAAACCCTGAAGAAAGTGCACGGATGCGCAAAATTCACGGTTTGGCATTATCTGGCCACTTTTATTTTTCCCCAGCTTATTATAAATAGCCAGCGATAATCGATAAGTGCATTCAGGGTGAAAAAAGTCGTCGAGCGAGCGGCTTCTCGTAGAGATCTGCCAATTTGAGGCTCTTCATCTGTTTTACAAGAATTTATACGAAACGTGACACAAATCGATAGCAAGAACTTGCGATTCCAGTAATAACGAAACGCCTATGTATTAAAATGATGAATTATTAAGTCTCGAAAGCGTCGAATTACCTTTTCGTAAATTCGTGGGAATTGGCCTCGCCGATATCGTTGGAAAACTTTAATTGATTGAAGGTATCGCCCGATATCGCGAATGGTAAAAAATATCAGAGTTCGGAGGGACCGAAGAAGGGTTAAAAATGGGAGCTTTTTATTTCCATCCGATCGACCGACTTCCAGGGAAATTGAAATTCCGTGCAGACACCAGAAGAAACTTGATACAAAACGATACGCAAAAACGTGCAATTCAGTAATAACGAAACGCCTATGTATTAAAATGATGAATTATTAAGTCTCGAAAGCGTTGAATTACCTTTTCGTAAATTCGTGGGAATTGGCCTCGCCGATATCGTTGGAAAACTTTAATTGATTGAAGGTATCGCCCGATATCGCGAATGGTAAAAAATATCAGAGTTCGGAGGGACCGAAGAAGGGCTGAAAATGGGAGCTTTTTTTTTCCCTCCGATCGACCGACTTGCAGGGAAATTGAAATTCCGTGCAGACATCAGAAGGGAAAGGATGCTTAGGTGGCTCCTGGTTTTCAACAGGGTGGCACCAGGCCGGCATCGCGCAGGCGTAGCCTCGACTTATGGTCGAAAACACTGACCTCGTTCAATCATTCCCAAGGTACCTAAGGAAAACGCAAAAGGAATGCGTCCGTGGCAACCTAGATTGCAATTTGGGTCACCCATACGGGACAAAACGAGCCCCGATACAGATACAGAGAGCACCACCGTCATGCATCCACTCCATAGAAACTTTCTTCATTCGCCGGAACTCCTGACTGTCCAGAATCGGGGCCGATTAGGAATCGAAAGTTACTAACAAAAGGGGAGGATTCGCCCTAAGCGCCGAAAAGATGGACCCTAGAACCTGGGTCGACTTATGCAAAAAGAAGAAAATTTCTAAATTTATAATCGAACCTAAACAAATGGACCTAAAGGATTTCCAATCAGGTATTAATTTATTTTTCAAATATACTTTCAAATGAGATCGAAGATCGACGTAGACTTTAAATGCGAACAAAATGGGGTCGATTGGGGAAATAATAATGGATGACGGGAGGAGAAATACACCTTCGAACGATAGCAAAGAAATATATTCGTTAATTCAAAGAATATTTGGCTTGAATGAGTTGTCATCATTCCGAAGAAAGAACGAGTCAAGGAATTCTTTGAAGTAACCAAACATCTCTTTGGTACTATTCAAAGAAATATGTTTTCTGGTTCAATGAACATTTCTTCCGGTCTACCTGCAGAAAGTAAGGTAGTCGGTGTATTTTGTTCAGGCGTTAGGGGTTTAGTGGATTTTTTTTCCAGTGAATAAATATTGCCGGGTGGTGTCGCACGTATCCTCTTACCATTGGGCTCCTTTCCGGAAGGTAAGAGGCCATTTGACATAGCTCTTACCGTCCTAACGTAGACAGGAAAGGAGAGAATGCCGCATTCCCTCGGCAGGGTCCACACCCACTTCTGATCCGTTTTGGAACGCCGTCTTGGCTTCGCGAGCAAAGGTCTTGGAAAAGAAATCCCACCTCTCAGGAGCGATTTAACCCGATATTGATAAATCCCTTTGAAAACCGTACTATCTGCAAAGTAGATGAATGAATGGAGCTTTGGTGCCACATTAAGGACAATATACCTCGGGGTACGGGGACAAACGAACAGCCCTTCAAGGGAGAAAAAGGAGAACTAGGATATCCTGGGGTCTTGAAACCCTCGTCTAAATATCTACCTCGTAAGAAATATTTCCAACGGGTTAACAGGATCGGATGCAAGGAAGAGATCCACCACTATCATAAGAAATTCTCTCAATGCCGTACAAATTTTTCTGCGGAACTTGAAATCATTTCAGAATTGCCTAAATTTCTGGTAGACTTAAAGAGCTTCACGGTATCTAAATCGAATGCGGACAAAGGATGACAAACAATGTATAATTAAGGTGGTTAACATAGAACGGGGTGCACCTCTATTTGTAATTCGACGTTGGTAAGGGACAGCTTCAACGTGGTTTCCTCGAAAGAAGTGGAATGTATATTGGTCTACCCCAGCAAAGCCTGCACCACTTCTGGGAACGCACAGATGGAAGAGTGGGCCCTCAGCAAATCGGCCGTTTGCAACCACTCAACACCCTAAAGTGTCTCGAAAGCCCTTTACGATTATCCGCCGTGGGTAAGTAAACGCGGAAAAAATATTCATGATCTTCGGATCGAGCGCACGCCTAGCAGGAGTGCTGATGCACATCCCCTGAGTAGTGGGTACCAGTAAACGATGGTGCCATAGTCGGTAAACCACCAAAGGTCTACCTCGAGCAAGGAAAAAAACGAGAACGATGAAACAAACGCTCAGCAGATGCCCAGTGGTCCAGATTTTCGTACCGCCGTATCAATCTCCAAGAAATGGGAATAAACAATGGGGTATAGTAGTCCCTAAACCTCCAACAATCTTCCCTTTACTTGAAGCAAGTAGAAGCAACAAATTCCTAGTACATGCTGAGGGGTTCAGATTTTGGTATCAGGTCAGTCATTAGGAAATTCGAATGAACAGATCGGTATCCTAATTGTTAAACCTCCGACAGTCTAATTGAAATAAGTAAAAACCAGGAACGAGGAAACGAACCCCTAATACATGCCGAGAGGTCCAGATTCTTGTATCAGATCAGTCATAAGGAAATGCGAGCGGTGAGGGATTTCCAGGGTAGGGTCTGGATGCCGCAGCATTCCCAAAAAAGTGGCAACCGTTAGAAGAGATTTTGGGATAGGTCCAGGGAGGTCTGGGACCCGTTCGTGTCACGGGGTCAATCTCTGAAAGTAGGTCACAGACGGTGGTTAAGGTAGGGCTCTCCAACGGATCTAGTGGAGAATCGTATTCGGATCGTAAAAAGGAAAAGAAGATAAAAAAAAGCACCCGAACAATTAAACCAAAGGTGATACCGATATCCATCGAGGATCCAGGCAGTCGCGTCAGGGATAGATGGCCGTCATCCCGGGGATCGGTTCCTGGGGATCGCAGAGACGAAGGGGGTTCCAGGAAGGGGAGCAAGGAGTTCCGGGGTAGCCTCGTGTCACCGGGTCAGCCTCTGGGGAAATAGGTCACAGCGAGCATTTACAGAAGGAATGCAATTGCAACGGGGCGGGAGCATCAACCTATTCACGGATAAACAACGCTTCCAAAGAGTGCCAACCATTGTGCTTAAGGTGCAGCTCCCCTGCCACCATTTTTCAAAAGGAGCGCGAGGTGTGCGTCGTTATCCCGGCCGGCAGTCCGCGCCCACTTTACGGTCTTTTCCAAAAACACCCACGGCAGACTCGATCATTGGTCAGATCAGGCGTTTTCGGGCTCCCAGCCCTCATTCGGCACTAAGTCGGGCTTAACGAGCCCCTCCGCTGGGTAATAACCAGCGGTTCCTCTGCATCGTGCGTCCTCGTATAATCCTTTTCTTCCTTAAATCCTGATAACATTACGATGGTCAGACACAACTCTCAAGATCTGGGTACGTTTCCCTAGCGGTACTTGATCTACGGATAAATAAACTACGAGCAATAAATTAAGCCGAAGGGGTGTTGTCACCCCCCATCCCCCTGTCGTAGGTCAGGAGAAGGGGCTTTCTTCCAGGAATCCCGGGAATCACGGGAACGAAGGCGCGTTCCAGGAAGGCAGGGACGGGGTTCCGGGATGCCCCGATGTCACGGGGTCAGTCTCTGGGGAAGTAGGTCACAGGGAGCACTCGGAGAAGGAGTGCGATCGCAACGGAACGAGAGCATCAACCCGTTCGCGAATAAACAACACTCCGGAAGGGGATCCACCCTTGCGTCGAAGGTGCAGCACCCCTGCCACCACCTCCCAAAAGGAGTGCAAGGTGTATACCTCGTTGCCCCGGCCACCAGTCCGCGCCCACTTTTCGGCTGTTTCTAAAAACCCACTCGTAGGGCCGGATCCCCGTCGAATTGTTCATTTCCAGCGACAACCCGAGCCTTGTCAACGATTTCCCAACAGCGACCCACCATGTAGGCCCGTTCGCTGCAATCGGTTCCCGGTTCCTAACGACCCCACGATAGCCGGACACTCTTCGGGACGACCTGGATCTCCGTTCTTCCGAGAAAACTCTTTCCACGAGGAGCCCGGACGAGGTCGTCGCGCCCGGAGAGCAGGTGTTGTCATTCCCCTCTGGGAGTCCGTTCGTCAGCCGGCGAGAGGAATCCGTTGTCCAGGAGAACCGGTCCGAGGAATCGCGGAAACGGAGGGGTCCTCCAGGAAGGGGAGCGAGGAGTTCCGAGGTATCCTCGTGCCACGGGGTCGGCCTCTGGGGAAGTAGGTCAGAGCGAGTATTTAGGGTAGGCTTGGGCGGTCGGCTGCAGTGGGGCGGCATCGCCGTGGGTGTCGGGAGGCTCGTAATAATATATACTAATGCGATGCGTACCTCTCTTGCCATTACGTCATGTCCCTGCAGGTAAGGGACCGTCCCACTGTGCACTTATTCAGCAGGAGCGAGACGCACGTCGCATTATCCCGGCCCGGAGCCCGCACCCACCACGCTCGGCTCTGAACCTCGGGTACGCACACTCGCAGCAGCGGGGCCCTCTCAGCGGAACGGCCGTTTGCAACCTACCAACACCCGGGAGTGCCTCATGCCTCTGCGACCTCTCTCGTTACGATTACCCGATATCTAAGATTTCACTAACGCATATGGGCCAAATTGTAACAGTGGCTTCCTCCCAGCGGTTACTGCGGCGACTCCTAGTTTTAGATCGATTCTCTCTCGGTGTACGTACAGACACCCTCACCCTCTCCTTCACTCTCACCCTCAATCTCGCCCACAACCTCGCCCCACTCACCCACTGGCGCGCTCAGCCTCCTACCACCGCTCTTCTCATTTTCTCCCTCTTTCTCTCTCCTCCGGCCGGCCCGCACGGTCCGCGCCTGTTTTCCTCCCTTACGCGCCAGTCGCGTCCGTCTCTTTCCCTCTTCCTTTGCTGCAGCTTTCCTAGGGCGCGCGCGCGTCCGCTCGCTCTCTCTCTCTCCCTCTCGAGGCGCCTCTAGCTCGCTTGCTCGCTTGCTCGCGTCTCTAGGCTCGCCGGCAGGTGCTGCCCTCTGATTGGTCCGTCGAAATTATCCTCTTCGCTCATTGGTCAGCTCCTGGGTACGTTCTGAAATGCAGCGAAAACGGGGGAAGGTTGCTGTCCGCGTTTTAGTCGGGGAATTGGTACATTTCAAATTTTCAAGGCTGATTTCGAATGTGCGTGGACTTGTGGAGGCGTAAAGCGCAATCCCTTAATAGCCAATGAGAATCTCTCTTAGAGGTAAATAGGTGGACTCTCATTGGCTATTGACGATATTGCGCATGAGCTTTGCACGTTTAGTTTGGGGTAATATACTTCGTGCCCTCGTAGAAAACTAGGGACGTATTATACGTTGTAACATACGCGTAGAAAACCACGTATATTATTTGACGTATTATATTTATCCAACCCTCCTCCCAACTCATCTCTGATAGAACCGGGAATATTTTTCATGTAATTTACGTTGCGTATAAAATTTACGACGTTATCTAGTAATTTACTGTAAAAAGAACTATGTAAATTACCTAGGGTATTTCATTTACCTAACTTCGATTTCAATCTAAGAATTTTTATGATCTCGATCTGACAACATTGCTCTCTGGTGTTAATAATACGCTATTAGGTTCGTTTTTGGAGCAAAATTAATTGGTAAACCGATTTCAAATCAAAGATTTCCCAGATATCTTGCACATGATAATTAAATTGTAAGTTGTGAAAAATTGTTAAAGTAATTTGTATGAATCTATGATCTAAGTGATCCTAGGTACTGGTTCGTTAATCGAAATCCAGGTGTACATAACCTACAACGTCATTCGTTGCTGACCAAACAATTAATCGAGGTACCAAAAAATGTTGCATATGATGCATGAGATCGCCTTTATATTGAGTGTTTTGTTTAAAAATCTGTTGAAACTCAGTGTGATTTCTAAGCTTGCGTAATATATGCTTATCGAAGTCCTTCGTGTCTACTTTCAGACATCAAGGGAGAGGCTCTAATGAATAGCATTGGCGAAACGTGCAATGAACTCAAAAGGCAGTATGACTCGTGTTTTCATATGTGGTTCTCCGAACGATTTCTGAAGGGAGACGCAGATGACTCAGTATGCTTGCCTATGTTCAAAATGTATCAGCAATGCATCAAGGTGAATATCTGATTTCTATTGATTCTAGGGTTTTTGGGAAAGCTCGGTCTGTTAACATGGAACAGTGCAAATACCTAAAAGAAAATTATGAAGCTTGTTTTAATGTTTGGTTCTCTGAAAGATTTCTTAAAGGTGAAACGGATGACTCCATGTGTGCTAATTTACTGAAAGTTTATACAAAGTGCGTGGAGGTAACTTTGAATTGAAATCTTGCCGTTGCTTTGCATCATCTTTGGGATATCACTGATATTGAAATATATTTGCATGATTTTACTAACAGTTAAGTAAGATAGTGATAGTTATAAATGTAAAATTAATATATTAAATCTTGTGCGTTACAGAAAGCCATTAAAGAACAAAACATCGAGTTAAAAGATGTAGAAGTTGATCACCTGGAAACGGACAAAGAGATTCCACATAGTTGACAGCAGACAAATATTGGCATTCAGATGTCAAGATGGTTACAAAGTCTCATCTGTGCCCCATGTGGACCCGCTACTCTGGCACATCTTGCTTTATCACATCCAACACGGAATGATAGAAGTACCTGCCACTCACTAAATGCCTCATTAAAGTGATATGAAATTTTAACACACTGTTAACTGATCTCTGTGCTTTTTACATGTTATAAAATATATAGATATTTGAACACACCCGCAAAATGCAGTAAAATGAACTCAAAAGTGAATTTAGTAGGCACTCAAACCAACGTTACAAAACAATATACCACCGTTTGCATTTATTCTACCACCACCTTGCTTTGACTTTTGATTGGAGTTTATATTCCTGCAGTGTCAAAGGTGTTAAATTTAAAATTCTGCACCCTTTATATCGTTTCTTGAAAGAATGTAATATCTGTGATGTCATTGCGAAGTACATAGAAAACGTATGTATGGCCCTGTGCATATTGCTGCGTATATGAATAACTATGTCGAAAATGTAAATGTTTAATTGTATAAAAATTAGAATATCTATTAAAGTAGAACTGTCAAAGTAAACTGATGTTTTATTATTAACTGTCATGTGCCCTGTAAAGTAGTAAGACCAGCTTCCTTAACTTTGAAACGACAGCTTTCAGTCATTTACCAGACCAATGAAATAGAAACAAAACTGAGGAAAAAAGAAATTTCTAGAATGAGAAATAGTTACAGATGGCATCGTTACAAAATCTGTACACAAGTAGAATTAATCGCTGCCTTTCGATTCGGCATCGCTCGAAGGTGGCGTGCTTTCATCGGGTTCTTCAAATTCCACATCACTAGCTTCTTCATCAGTGTCTTTTTTCCCTTTCTTAGCCTTTTTACCATTATCAGTCTACAAAAACAGAATTAATTAGATTTTACTTATACGTAAATGAATTAACTCATAACAAAAATAATTTGTCTTCTCAAGTAAAAAAGAATTGTCTTACCGCTTCACGTTTCTCTCCTTTCTTCTTTCCCTTTTCATCTGCACTTCCATCATTCAAACGTTTCCTTTTACTCGATTTCTGAAAGTTTATTAATTACATAATAACAGGTCCATATTGATGCGTATGTTTCATTTCCTCCTAATTATACAAATAGTTTGGGAGAACACAGAATCTACTTATTTCATACCTCTGCTGATCCATCGTCACTGCTACTGTCATCACTGATGTACTCCTTACTTTTGAACGACGCACCAGACATAAGTTTGCTAGGGGATTCTTTTTTAGGCTCCTTCTTCTTCTTATCACTTTTTTCTTTCTTTTCCGCAGGTTTACTACTACCTCCACTTGCTTTGTACTCTTCCATCGACTCGGCATATTCCTTCTTAGCTTTTGCTGCTTTTTGCTCCCATTCCTGTATATCGACATTGATAATTTTACTACTATTAAACACTTATCTAGACTTTACGATGTTAAAAAAAAAATGAGGCTTACAGATTTGTCTTTTAGGTCTCTCCACATTTCACCTCCTTTTTTCGCTATTTCTGTGACAGCAATACCAGGATTGTCAGCCTTGATTTGGTCACGCGTGCTGTTGAGCCACAACATGAAAGCTGTAGCAGGCCTCTTTGGCTTATTTTCATCCCTTTCCTTCTTTGGCTTTCGAGGTTTCCTTGGCTTCTCCGACTATAGATTAAAATTAAATTTAAAATAGTATATTCGTATACATAAATCAAGCATTTTTGTATAGCATTATCACACCCTGTATCTCATGCAGCATCAAGTTATATATTTTAGTTTTCATGTAAATAAGTTAAACACAGGGTATACTTAATACTTACGATAGTTTTAGCAGATTTTGATTTTTTCTCCTTCTTTTCTTTTTTCTCCTTCTTTCCATCAGAAACATCAGACTCATCTTCGCTCTTTGAAGTATTAGGATTGCTATCATACTCCTCAGCTACGTCACTTTCATCCTAAATATACATTCACAACTCTTAATCATTTGCCAACGAATGAATTCCGATAATTTAGCACTAATTACAAACCTGATTAGGATTAAAATCTTCATCGGTAGATTCCTCTTCGGAGTCTTGATTGTCATCATCTCTCTCCTGTGCTTCAGCTTTAACTCTTGCTAAGTAAGCATCAGGTTCATTCTCTTGATCGCTGTCTCCGAAGTCGTTGTCATAATTTAATTTATCCTACATTCACAAAATGATACGTTTACATACATACATTTTAAACAATTACTTTTTCTTAGAATGAAATTTGGAAGATTAATTCTTTTTTACTTACATTCTTGTTTCTGTTCTTCACTCTAAGCTTCTTAGATGTTATGAAGTCGAAGAGTTTCCCATACTCTTCCTTTTCGATGCTACTGAACGTATGAACTACTCCACTTGTCAGTTCGATTTCAAAATCGAAGGAGCGTGTCGAGCCACCACCACGAGCAAAGTTTACTGATGTTATTTCCTCAAAACGTATGTGAATTGGTGGTTTGTGAACATAAATAAAGCCTCTTTCCAAAGGATATATATATCCTGCTGCAGCTTTGAAGGAGCACCCTATAGCAGCAGTTCCAGAATGTCTGAGAACAATCATACATTATTTCTAGAGATTAAAATTTCATTCTATTTTCTGGCCTATTACACAAAAGGTTGTTATTAAAATTAATAAATTCAATATATTAGAAACTTACCCAACAAAATTACCAGGACCGGTTAGTTTTCTATTAATTATAACTTTCATGACTTTTCCCAGCACTTCATATGTAGGGCCCGAAAGCTCTTTTGTGAGTTTATTATCATATTTGTCACTTAACTCCTTCCTAAAAATTTACGTTACGTAACAATGATCAAAATCTGGAGATAAACAATATATACAAAAATAATTGAAATATTAATCATACTCAGAGAAAGGCAGTTCAATAGATGTCTCTTCCTCCTGATTAAATAACAATACCAAATAATGATAACGTGTTTGACCTTGTTTAATAGGTGGATCTAAACTCACCTGAAATTAAACAATATATTAATTACAACATAATAAATGAAATAGTTGTAAAAACTGTTTCTATGAACTTACAACAAAGAACATTTGACGATTGTCTTTGTGTGGCAGCAGGAACAGTCTAAGTACTGTTGACATTGGTATCTTATAGTCAAAGGTTTTACCATGAAGTTGGAAAAACGTTTGAAATATCTTGATATCATAGCGACCACTAAAATAACAAAGAACCAGTATAAACATTTTAATCTTGATGAAATATATAAACAGCCAAGAAAAAAATCATAACAATTTATATAAGTAACAAACCGTGGCGTGAGGCACTGAATTTCTCTGAATATAGCGATAGCATCACCACTGACGCTAATGACAGATGCTTTTTGTAATACTTGCTGGTAGAACCCTTCTACAGGATCCTGATCGACACTATCACTGACAGGAATATGAAACCTCATTTCCATTAAGCTTACTGGTGCATCGTCATTCTAAAACAAATTATATTACAAGTTGGTATACAGATAAAAAATATTCACATAATTCATGAGTGAGAACTATTCATAAAAGCGAGACGAGGACGGCACATTAAAGTATATCTATGTTTTACCAAAATACAAAAACTATACCTGGTGAAATTCCAAAGTGACTTCATTCTTTCCAGTGTTACATTGTGAAACATCGTAGAGTGGTATCTCGAAAGCAGTGTGATGGCCAACGTCGAAACTTAAGACGGAGCCATTAAATTTAGCTGTTCCCCAATTCCATCCTTTCAAACTAAGCTCCTTTTCCAACATATCCTTCTTATAGTTAACACTAAAAAACTTTGCAATTTTGTCTTGATCCTAAAACGAAATAAATACAGATCGTATCACATTTTTATTTACAAATAGATTTATCAAAAAGAAAAAGACGTACTCCGTCTTTAAACCCTCGAAATCTATGCAGAGTTCCATTTTTAAGGAATATCCTAAGGCCCCAGGTTCCAACGAACTTTTGAAAGTTAACAATCTCCATATCCGATGCGGAGATTTGTTCAACTTTGCCAGTTTTCTGATTCTTGAATATCAGATGCTGATCGGTTAATTTTAACTTCCCGAGCGTCTGTGAAACGTAGAAAAGACAAAAATCATTAAAGTACAATATTCGGGAACGTAAATTGGTAAACAAATTATACAAAGGAAACACTTACCATGGCGCCCTTAACCTCAGCAGTTATCTCAGGATATTCTATAAAATCCATGTTGCCAGGTAGTTATGACAGTTCGGTAAAACACTTCCGATAATTCTTTCGTAACTCTCAAAATATTATTAATTTTTAATCCAAATGGTAGATATTAATGTCCATTCCCATTCTCCGACCGGTGGAACATTTAGCGCAATATTTAACGTGGATTCGCGTCGTTCAGATTCGACTAGAAAGGCGATTCGGTCATTGAGTATAAACATATAGACAGCAAATTGCTAACCTCACATTTACTGTCGAGATCACAGCGCCACCATATATCAAGAACTAACGAATTACAAAAGAAGCGAAATAAATTTCCATCACCGACAATAAAGTGACTTTTAAAATATCTACTACATAGAAGTTCTAGAAACTAAAAATTCAGTTATTTGTAAATTGGTGATTTTCTGAAAAGCATAATGAATTTAAGATCGCCATTTCAGCAAATTCACCATGAGGAGGTTGCCGCTATAAACTCAGATAAAAATGCTCCGTCTATTTAGACACCTAGTTCTGCTATTTTTTCGATATTAAATTTTTCATTTATCCAATAAATAATAATGGCCACTGCGACCCTCCTTTGTTAATAACAAATTAAAAGTACGCCAGTAACCGGCAGCTTAGGATTTCTTATCGTCATATTTATAAAATCGATTAAAATATTTACGACGATTGACCTCGTGTACTTGCGATTTATTTTTAATATCTAGAAGAGAAGTCTTCAAAACACGTTCAAACATCGGCGGTAAATCGCAGCAAATGTACGTACAATTTCAGGTATTTTTCACCCCCAAGTTCGGCACGTGTTCTCCCCTCTTTGAGAGGGTCTCGCACCTGCCGTTGAATCGATCAACCTAACGGTACTCCAACTACACCGTACAGTGCACGTACAAATCATTACTCGAGTACAAAATATTCTAAATCATGCCTCCGGAGGAAACATTTTGGCGCCACGGGTATAATCTAATTTACATTTCTTAATCTAAACGTCCGCCATTCATTCCTTCGATTTCCGGTGCCGCTGCCGATACCTGCAGTCTGCAAATATGCAGACAAAGCAACGGAGGAAATCGAGAACGCAAACAGAGGGCTGCATCGAGCTGTGCCCGTAGTTCTCTATTCACTCTTCTATCGAAGAAATGCGTCGACAAAAACGAAGCCAATAACGGCGGCGATAACGCTCGTAATGTGCGTCCAGGCCTACTGGTATTGAGTTTCGGGAATGTAAGCATACGATTCGCGACGGCAGTGACCGAGGAGCTCCCTCGTCAGTTCCCTTGGTTGTCCTTCAAGGAATGCCTGCCTCGCAACGCTCGCGCGCTGCCACGGTATACGCCAAGCTCGAGCCGGGCACGAGCGTGCCCGCGTCGCTCTTAATTCGGTTTTCGCGTATATTTAGAAACACGGCGAGATGCCATCGACTATGTGTCTCCGATACTTCCTGATAACCTATGTCATCGTCCTCTCGGTAAGTCGGTTTTCGTCCTCCTTGATCCCATGTCCTAGATATTGAATTCAATTACACAGTGTTCGCATAAAAGTACGCGTTAACTGACCAGTTATTAGCGAGGCCCGTAATTTGGAGTAAACGGGGCACTTGCCCGCGATTATGAGCCGTATCTTCCCTGAGCATAAGGCCGAGAGTCGCTTGGTCGCGGTCACTCGGATGCATTGTGAATTTAACTCGGTCCACTTTTAACCCTACTTTTGCTCACTTATTTTTCGGCTCGCTCTACCTTGCGGACGGGAAATGGTGGATCTGAAATTGGGATAGTTGGTGCGGCGCGGGTGTTGTGTGTGCTCGGAGTGACGAAGAGACAAAGGAGGATAGTTTTTGTTATCGTTGAAACGAGCAACGTTGCCCGCGAAATTCCGTAGAGGACTCCGGAATGGCGAGGGACCTCGGGTTTGTGTGGTCGCTTCGGAGCACTGCTCGGTCGGTTGGAAAGGTCGCGCGGTCGGTAACTCCGATAGAGGAGATGCGACGGTTGGGGATGCAGTTCCGAGAAATGTCAATTTCTACAGTTCCATATCTGAATTCTAGTTGCGAGAAATAATTAGACAATTCTACTCGCCTCTAGAACGTAAATCGTTCCTGAGATTCGATTAATGTGCCAAATTTTGTTTAAATTTGACCTTCGTGTCTTTATTAATGTTCGCATCGTTTACTCGAATCAGGTTCAAATAGATCCATGAAGATGATGATACGAAAATTTCGATAAAATGAGACAATTATGACTCAAGAGACGCAAGATCTCGTGTAATCGCATTTATTCAATGGCATGTGAGATACGATAGCGTTTTGATATTATTATATACTTTAATATTACTGCATACTCTTTATCCATACGCTTTCAGTAAAAGTAATATTACCGACGTTTTGTTTTTTGCGCATCTTTAAAAACGGTTTATGGGATGCTGAAATGGGTCAGCGACTGTTGAATAATGTCCACCTTTCTTCCCTTGAACAGTGTATGTCATTGTCCACAGATATCTGGAGGGGCTGTGATCGGTGGTAGCAGTATTTTCATTTATCAGCTATGCGAACACGGGCTTCTGGCTTACGACAATGTTTGCGGCCCGCCCGCCATTTTGTTATCAGTGGGGGTGATCGTTATTTTATTTGGCTGGTGCGGGAGGCAAGTCATGGGACACACTCACAAAAATCAAATTCTATGTGTAAGAATTTATCATGTCTAATTTTCTTTTAATTACGCTATATCCATTCCAACAATTTTATTATTAACTCTTTAATTATGACGGAGTCGGCTAAAGAGCCGCACCACTTGTATGGATAGCTCGGCCGCAGAGTGCTGAAATTTTAATATCAATACGATATTCATCTACTGCTTTAAATGCATGGAAATGAAAGAGGCTGCTATAGTGGTACTTTGTAACTAAAGAGTTAATAGTAAGCAATTCTCAGTTGTGGTCTCGCATGTGAATATTTATTTGAAAGGAAAGGAAATGCGTTAGCTTGAAAAGTAACCGTCTTTCTTATTGTGTTATGTTTTTATTATTTGCTTTCTTTTTATTATTATATCAGTATGCCGTGTTACTGGGATTCATCGCCATGATAGAATTATTCGCCGGCGTTTGGGCTCTCGTCAGGCACGAGCAAATCGGCGCAGTTCCTCCGACATCTTTTGGGCCTAATATTTCTCAAGAAATCACAGAGGACGAAACGCAAGGCGTGAATCATCGCACGATAATAGTAACGCTTCAACAAATTCATTTTTACCGACCTGACATGGATATACCAGAGATTTTATTCTATGGGAATATTCACCGTGAAAAATCGAGACAAACTCTTTTTTAAAATTTCGAGGGAGAAACACATTCTAAAATATTCACCGTTTATGATAACAATTAAGGCATTTAAAGGGGTAGAAGACTGTTTGAGAGACTAGTTCTCTGATTGCCCATCTCTACATTTTGAGAGTTGAAGAACCACCCTCAGAATTTTCTCCCAAAATTTTCTAAAGGAGGTTTACAATTTATTTTTGCGTGCATACTGACGGTAAAAATTGTTCAAACGATCTGTAGTCTCATTACAATTATGCGATAAAATAAGAGTGGTCAAGGTGTTCAATATTTCAGATCCATTGCTGCAAAATCCAAGGAGGGGCAGATTTTGGGAATTATTTGTCAGCATCCTGCTGCAACGGGACCGATAGCGAAGATTTTCAAGTTGACGACGCATCTTGTGCAGCGATGTATGTTAGGTGTCATCACTCGGTGACGAATCAAACCAGGTCGGTGCTGCTCCACGTCTTTCTCCTTGGACTCTGCTCGTCCCTTTTTCAGGTAATTAGTATAAACAATCGACTAGCCTAAAGAAATGTGGAAAATAAAAATAGATTATAGGGTATGCAATTTGTAAAACATATCTCTGCCTTCCAGATTGGTTGCATCATTTCCGCGGTGTACTATGCAGTCGCCATCAGTAAACGCCTGGGGCGTAGAAGAATGGAAATTATAGCAAATTCCCTATTAACGACGCGCCCTAGCACGGCAGAAGTAAATGGTAATCCTGGTTATCACTCGTGTCATTCTGCTGGTGCCAAAACGAACGATTCGCATCGATTATCGACATCATCGAAAGAGACCTGACTTGTTGTTGCGTTGGTTTTACGTTTTAAGATTAACTCCTAGCATTATTCACATTATCATGTTATTATCGCGTATTATCACGTTAATGTCATTGACCGCCCTAGATCTCCAATGCGCTATGCGGTAATTTATTAGTATTGTACTCCTGGGTCTTGATTAACAATTTATTTATTTTTAATTCGTCGGGCACGATCAGTGTACCGCAAGGTACTTAGGTCTCGTCAAGATTATTACTATAACGGGATCCGACATAATCTACGATCTTCCCCTATTTTCATTTTTTTTTATTCTTCAAGGGACTACCGCCTGCAATATGCATCGTATTTAAACTACTAACTCAGTTGAAATTGTGATATGTTATCTTATGAGCTTTTATTATTTTTAAGAAATCATGGCAATTTTTGTATTCGCCTTTACGAAGAAGCAAGTTTTGTAACGTTGTTCAGATCAGAGGAAAATTACCTATCCGTACAGATTTGTCATGAATTACTTTATTACGACTTGGTCTTCAGTTTGGACCACATTAACGTGAATTGAATTAAAATTGTGATACGTTACATTGTGCGTTATGATTTCGTTTATCTCTCCCTTCGCAATTAATTTGATTTTCGTAATAAACAGAGCGACCTAATAAATGTTAAAAATAAATTGTAAGCGTAATTTTGAAGGAAGGTGAAACCAGTGACGTATTGTCAAATGCCATCAGTTAATGAAGTACAAAACTTCGCCTTATCTGTAACCTCATTACTGTATTTTAAATTCTCATCATTAATCTTCAACGATGTAAATAAAGAGCGAAAGACTGGCTCTAGATTTTCTCTCCGGAATATAAGTATGGGCGAAAATCAATAAGGATTTAATCGATAGCAGATCAAGATATCGATAAGAGATCGTCGAATGTTACCCGGTCATTCCGAGGTATTCACGCTTATGAAAAGTTATTCACATCCATAATAACCCCGAGATGAGGAATCCCAAGATTTACGAAAATTCGTATTGTTCGGGAACACCGTTGGAACAATCCTGCTTATCGATTAGAAATTTATGAAAATCTTGTCTCCAGCCGCGACTGGAAAATGGATAATCATAACTCTAAGCCATTCTTTCGTGTAAATATTTTCCTAACCGTGAGTGTGATGTCGGGCAAGAACGTGAGAAGAATTTTCATAAATTTTGGATCCATTTAATGATTTCTCGTCGGTATCGTTGCAGATTCTTGGGGCTCTTATTCTACTTTGCGGAGGAGTTGGCTTGTCCAAGATAGACGCTTTCCAAAGCATCACGTCAAATGACGTTATCTTCCCATTGATAGCATATGTGATCGGTGGTCTTCTAATTTTCGGGGCGGCAGTTTTGGAAATTCTCGGCCAGAAATTGGATTTCTACGAGATGCCTTTCACGTTCTGTAACAAATGGAAACTCAACAGGCTCCATATAGCAAGTATCCCTCGAGTATTAAGAAAAACGTTCTCCAACGTTTAGAATTTTAATTCGCTTATTTTTAATTACATTCAATTACCTTTGCCCGCTTTCCTTCCAGTACTTCGTGTTACTGATCATCTCTCTCATACTTATGGTACTAGCTGCAGTTTACTCTTTCGTGCTTGGTGACACATTTGATAAAGCGAATAGCTTCGGTTTGATTACGAAGCGCTTTATACGGTACTATCAAGACGAGGAGGACCAAAAGTTTATAGACTTCGTTCAGAAAAGCACGGTGAGTGTAAATAAATTGGAAATCTAAATCAAAATTTTCTGACGCAATAGCTAATACAAATTGCACGACTTAAATATTCGACAAAAATATTCTTGGATTTCTCGTTAAAAGGGGTGTTGCGGAATTACATCTCCCGAAGACTTCACGTGCTATACAAAATCGGAGGCCCTCGGTACTTGGGGTGTACTTCCATGGTCATGTTGTGACAACGAATTTCCAGATCCGTGCTTGGACCGATCGAAAGTACATAAAATCGGATGCAAGGACATTCTTATAGAGGGATCGGTACACGTCCTGATAGTGTTTGCAGCCTTGGCTGTTCTCACTTCGCTCTTCATGGTAAAGAATATTTTCTCAAGAATTTTTCTTAGTCTTTGAGGGACCTCAATTGTGTCTTATCAATTCTGTTCACTTCCTGTGATTCCATTTTGAGTTAGGGATCTTGATGTACCTACTTGGCGTTATGGAGCCACCGACAACCATTGTACTAGTTACAAGACCGAGGTGTTATTACGTGGAACCTGGAGAAGCGACATCCCAGTACACCGCGGATGCTGCGAGCTTCGCTGGATCTACCAAAACTGGAGTATCCGTTAAATCTTCTAAATCTACCAACAGATTCGGCAAATTCTTTTAAGCTGTGAATCCGAGAGAAAAGATTACTTCGTTACGTTTATAGAATTAGGATTAATCGTATCTCTTAAGTGAATCGTGTCGATAAGTTAACACCGAGTCTGTTATATTAGTTATCATTAAAAGTACGTCCATTAAAGTTGGAATAAATTTCTTACCTCATACCGAAATATTTTAATGTTAATTCCCTACTTTTCGCGGATCAGCTTTGAAAGTGACAAGTAATAAAAATGAGTGGGATAAATTTAATGGATTAAATTAGCTGAATTTATCTACTATTATATTTCTTGCTAGCAATGGAAGCCATTTCATTTTCCACCTGGAATAATTTTATCCTTTAACTTCATTTCTTTACTTTTTAATTATAAAACGTTGCTGTTACATAGAGTGAAGTAAAGAGTTTAAGAAGGGAACGGCTTTTAAACCATATCGTCGTATATTGTCGTTATTTATTAGGTTTAAGAGAAGATAACTTACATCTGTTGTACTATGATACATCCTATGTACAGGGTCCAAATCAATTCGATACACATTATCCTCCGGAATAATAATTAGTTTCCGCATCTAGGGCACCCCCAACGACGGGATGCTAACAATGGCTTAGGATCATCGTCGTCGCCGCAAACGCAGTCGAAGTAAGCAGGCAAAAATCGCCCAATCCGCGTAGAAGGAAGAATCGTAAAAGTCTCTGTTTCATGTCAGCGCAAAACATTTGTAACAACGCAAATAATCCCGAAACCCGGCGACTTTTGCCTGCACAGTCCCCGGTCTACCTGCTCGCAATTCGAATATTGAAAATATCCCTAATATATATATATAATATTTATATATATACGTGTAAAATATTTTGATTCTATCGACCCATTACTCTTAGCAGACGTGAACTCCCTAGTGATAGTTACTCTAATAATTTCAACATAAATAAAAAAACAAAAGAAATTCGACATCGTTTAGGTCCTTAGATCCAGTGAGCCTCGCACGAGATACTAGAGGGTACCAACTATATTCGGACGCGTATAGTAGTATCGCCTACTAGCCACCCTAACGTCCGTTCTATTTCGATATCAACTAGCTTAAGTTGTCTACGGACTCCTAATCGCAGCCTTAACTGTTGATCGCTGTCCAATAATATCCTCCCGACGCGCTTCTTTACAGATTTCCCAAGCAAAATATACAGGCTCGGTGGAGAGATTGCGCCTCGTCGAGGGAGCTTTTAAAGGTCCTCGAGGGTCGCGCCATTTGTATCGACAACCCTCCCAGGATATCGCAATAAATCGCGCGACCTCCCCGTTAAAAGATAATGTAGAAAATATCATTACATCCCGTATAAAATCCGACTTGGTAGCCTTAATCTAGAATTTCTAAGCTCAGTTTGGAAGGTCCTGGTGACGCGTTAAGTCTATGTCAACGAGAAGACGTGCCCCGGTAGTTCAAGGGACGTCCTTTCGGCTCGTCTCTTTCCGCAGGACATCTTCAAGGTGGACGCCAGAGGATTCCCTGAAGTTGTGCAACGAGATCCAGGATTTGTTCGATCCCTTCCGGGGGTGAAAAGGACTCGTCTCTAGGTTTAACGACGCTTCGAAGTACATATCGAGATCTCTTATGGTTACGGCAGAAGAATCGTTGATCCTTCTTGGGATTACACTTTCTTTTCTCTAACGTCTAAGGAGGATCTACTCGTGTGGAGCCGATCCGGCGATGCATCAGCGCCTGTTGCCGGATCAATGGAGATTGTTTTGTTCTCCTCAGATGGGTGAACTACCCTTCCAGGTCTTCGGGAAGTGTCTCGAGGTTGGGTCCTAGGTGGAGGGAACGGCTTTTTACAGTGGTAGTTCGCTGTCACCTCTTGGACTGGCGTTTAGCTCTTCGTGGACTTCGTGGATGGTGTCCTCGAGGCGGCGGCGGATTATATTCTGGGTCAGGAAATGGGATTACTGGTTTTACTTTACTTGTACTTATACCGCGCGAAGTGAAATTGACAGAATACATATCAATGACGTACATCTAACTCGTCCTTCTAAACTAGAGGGCGATCTTCAAGCTTCCAGGGGAAACTTTAGCTGGGAAGGTGCCCTGGGCGCGCCCTGGAGTTGTTTGCACGCATCTTCAGGAGTTCAGGTTAAAGATCGTCCTTTTAAGTTGGCTTTCAGATTCAGGATTCAACGTTCGAACTCCTTGTCGTCGTTTCGAAGGAGCATCTAACGGTCCCCAACAAATGGACACCCGACCAGCACCAACTCGAGAGAGTCGACTCGCCCTTGATCGTTCCAACCGAAACGGCGGTTCGGTCGGCTTCAAAGGTGCACCGGAATGCTCTCCTTATTCCAAGACTACGAAAGAAATGGTATCATCCGATTCCCCTCGACGACGAACGCACTTCAGTGTTTCAGATCCGAGTTGGGCTCGGCTCCCCAATTAGCCCGGATTTCGGTTCCCAGGGAATCGACGAGTTGAAACCCCAGACGACATTATCAATTTGGAATAACTTTCAGCATACTTATGAACGACTCTCCTCGGTTTCAAGTTGACAATATCTTCATTGTACTCATTCTCCACCCTCGTTTCTAAAATACACATCTCCAGCCATCAGCTCGTAGCTGCTTCATCCAGACGCCTGGTCGGTCTACTTCAAAGGTACTGGAAAACATCCTTCTGGAAGAGACATCTCTCATTTCCAGCTCTCTGATCATCTTCAAAGAACTCCCGTGAGAGCCCAACCGCTCCTGGTGGCTATTCCTTACAAAGGAGTCCAGGCAACCTAGATAGAACCTCCCTTCTTCTCCTTCTTCGATTGACCATATTTGATCCAACCTCCTCAACGAAATCGTCTGCTCCGCAGGATAAAATCCCCAGCATCCAGGTCTCAGAGCGGAGACAGTTGCATGGAGTGCCTTCTCCCGTTCTCAGTCGGGCTGTCCATCTCCGAAGAACTCTCTCCCGAGCCCACGGGCGAGGCCACCGACGCCAGGGTCATCTCGTCCAGGAAGTCGAAGGATGCCACAGCCTCCCGCTCCTTGTCCCCGTACCTGACGAAGAAGTCGTCTCGCCCGATGATGGAGGGCCTCGAAGAGCTCCAGGAAGAGGACACGCACAGCACCCGATGCGCCTGGGCCGCCGATGCTGGGAAACCAAGCGCAGCGGGTCAACATGCCTCAGACCTCACTTGCTCTCCTATACCGGCTCTAGCGGACACAGAGTAGCTCGGCTTAGCACTCCATTTCCCCCTTCGCTCTCCCTCTCCCTTACTTCCTCGTATCTTTCGCTCGCCCTCTCTCGCTTTATCGCTCACTCGCCCTCTTCGCTTTTTCCGCACTCCTTTCGTCTCTTCCCGAATCTCGCATCGAATGGACTCGTCGGGTGCACGATGGGTGATCAACGTTACACGGAATGAGATGTTACAGATGAATATAGATGATTTTTAATATGGATATTTATCTCCATTTGTGAATTCAAGGAAATGGGGCTTGATTTAATCATATATGATTCTTGGGATGATAAGTAATTATTCTTCATGGGTACAATTACCGATGTAATTTTCCTTTCTGAAGATTAGACGCTAATGTGTTCCCATCGTGCATGTACCAGGGACGGATCCATTCGAGTTTCTCAAATTTAAAAGCAAATGACATGGACTTTCACGCAATTCCGAAAATGAAGGTTCATTAGGTAGCTACTATCCATTAGATGTAGAAATTTTTAATCCGGTAATTGTCGCGGTTCCGGTACTCGCACGGTTATTTTACTCGTCACAGGGCACGAAACGTTTATCTGGTACGGCATAATTATTAACTTGCTTAATACACGGCAGTTGTATCTATAGCTAATCTAAATGATATTCATAATTCACCCTAAATCAACGTTACAATACTCGATGTGGTCTTTAAGCTCCTTCCTATCGGCCTCCTCTTAGCTCGATCCTCGGCATTACCCTCACCATATACTACTACATAAATAAATAAATAAATTACAAAGTATCGCGGCTTAATAACGTATAAATAAATAGTAGGCTGAACGCTTCTACGTGGACGCGCCAAAGGTCGTCGAGTCGTGCAAGGTAGTCTAATTACGTGTATTTCAAGATCAGGACAAAGAACTACTTCAGGAATTGCGTGAGAGCTTCGTCAATGACTGGTCACGCGTGATTAGCACGTGATAATGATCAATAATCGCCATTAACGGTCCTGGTTTGTCCTAAGATTCAGCGGCGGGCCGGCCGAATAGTTTTCGAGCGAGACACTCTTCCACTTTCTTGGCGTGTCGCTTTACAGAAATTGATCGTCACTAAGCCGAACTACGTAGCTTTTCTTGTGACAATCAAAGCACACCTCGTAGGAGCTACCATCTGAACAGAAAATATGGAAGAGGCTATGTACAGTGAGAGCAGCTAGCAATGGTAAATGTAGTTAGCTCCGAACTACTGCGAGTGCGAGTGCGAGCGCGAATAATAGAAAAAAAAAAGAAAAAAAGAAACTGAAGCTTTCACAAGAAGCCGAGAAGCGCGTTAAAAAAAGCCCTGCAGTTTAGAAGTGCACTCGTGAGCAGGTGGGATATCTCAAAGAGACGCGAAACTCCATGAGATGTATGAAAACATGGTAATACAGAAACGTCAGGTTTACCGAAATCGGCGAGGAGAAAGCATGTGCTTGTGCTCGAAATGAGATGTCGACGACGAGGAAAAGGAAAAGTCTAGCGAGCGTGAAATGTGCCGAAGAACCTCCGTGTACCTTTCTTTTGCCTCCTGTAACGATGTAGTCTGAGCAAGTGACGATAATCCGGAGGTTCATCCCCGGAATCGCTGCCGGCAGAACCGCTGCTCGAGGTCGTCGATGAACTTTCGCTGCTTGCGAGCATCACGTCCAAAAGATTGGCTCTAGCCTGGAAAACGTTGAGTCGTTTAGCAAGGCCATGAGAGAATTGAATTACCAAGAATTTTAGAATTTCAGAATGTCCTAACAGAGGTCCTCGTTAAAAAATGCCTTATCCACTGTCTAGGGTATCAAGGATCCAGTCTATATGAAGGTGTACCTTGGGGTCGGTAAAGTCTATGTTCCTTTCCACGTGAACCCATCCTGTGGGACAGCAGCAAGCGAGGTCAAGTTTATCCAGGACCACCTGGGAATCGTTGGCAATGGGATGATCCTCTCCTTTCTTGATCATCCTGTTCAGCTCGTCGATCACGTCCTTCGAAGTGGCTCTCTCGTGGAAGCTCAGCGACCTGTCCCTGCCCTCTATCAGGAGTGGCGCTCTCGCAGGACTCACCTGGAGATAAAAAGGGAATGGTTTAATAAAAGAATAATTGCGTGATAGAATTGGCAAGCCTAGTGCCAACTGGGTACATTGTTTACCACCGTGCTAGGAGTCGAAGAGGTGGCCGCTTCCTCGTCCTCTTCAGGAACCGCGACCAACTCCGAGGGGGCCACCGTGGTGTAGGAAACTCCTCCGTTGCATGCAATTGCACTGATTATGCGTTCTTCGGGTGCCAGGGGAGGCACTGGGATTTTCTCGAGTAGGTCATCTTCGGCCCCAACCTCGTGGAGGTTCTCGAGATGGCCATTTTCTGAATCGACCAGCGACTCCACGGATTCCGGGCAGCGCATGTCCATCATTCGATCGTTTTTCGCGCCATTCATCTCTGAAACTGTAATTTTAAATGTATTATTAAAATAAATTTTTTAATTTATTATTAAAATTTACTGAAGACGAACCTTCAGTCGCAAGAGATTCGCCATTGTGATCGGAGGAATTGTTAGGCAATTCCGCGAGGTACATTTGTTGCTCGGCGATGAACGAAAGAACACTCTGAAGAGCTTGCTCCCGATCCGGAGGTTGTTTTCCTCCTCGCGAGGACGTGCTGGCCAAGCTTTTGGTGCTTTCGAATTTGACAAGCCTGTAGAAGTCTCTGGTGAAGTCTGTGCCCACGGAAGGAGAATCGGGATCGTCGCTGCACCCGGAAAGTGCAGCGGAGGACCTCTTGCTGGAGTTTTCAAGGGCACCATCCTCGCTGCTCCAGGATGCTCCAGGACTCGAGGCATAAGGCCAAGGTCCTGTTGCTCTGGCATCCATTAGCAATGCAACCTGTAACCACGGATTCATTGTAAAAATATTCCAAATTACCTAAACACAATAACTAATTTGATTCAATGGTTCAGGTATTCTGGCCATAGATGGCGAAAATCGTACTCGAAGAGGAGATAAAATACGATTTGACAGCGCAATCAAGCTTGTTTCTGTCAATAAAATGGTTCTAGGTACTTTATTTTATGACTCGTTAGGGAAAACTCTTAGGAAATAATCGATTTTTACATTTCTCACCAGTTCGCCCCCGGTTCGGTCAGCGAGGTAACTCGCGCCGTTCCACAAGCACTCGTTGGCGTCTTCTTCAAGCTCCAAAGGATTCTGCTCCTTGATGGCAGGAAGTGCCGGGGTGGTGACCGGCTCCTTCCACGCGTTAGGTTCCGTTTGGACGAGATCTTCGGTCGAAAGTGAGAAACTCCAGTCTTCGAGTTCCGCTCGGTCGTACTCCAGCTCCAAAAGGTCCCGGTGTTGTTGGGCGCTCCTCGTGTCGTCCAACCTAGACCCAGGACCAATGATCAGTGCTTCTTGCGATTAACATCCACCAGTGAACAACCGCAACTAAAGAAGTAAAATGAAAAGAACAGCTACTGATCGAAGCCATCAAGAAAGAGAAGGAAACCTCCGTGGTAAAAATCAGAATAACGTTTCAGAACTCTCGCCAGGGGTCGAAAGAATTCTTAGCCACACTCTTCGTCGTTTTCGGAGCAAACCAGAAAGCAGAGGGAGTATGTAAGTCTCCTTTTACGTCGGGATGCTTCAATGTCAAGGTGCGCATCTACAAGGATCGTCTACGCAGCCAAAAGAGACCAAAACCGATCGGCCAAGAAAACTGGCGAATCCTTATCCTGATTACCAGCAGATATCAAGGAGTCCTAAAGTGCCTCGAGAAAGACCGATAGGATACCTAAGCCACTGTTGGACGTACTCGGCATCCCAGCCCTCCTCCTCGACGAGGAGCAGGGAAGAGGAACCCGTGGGACTGGCGATGTTGTAGGGTGTCAGGTTGGCCGTGGTGGTGAGCTTCAGGCAGAGGTGGCTGTCGGAGAAGCTTCTCATCACGTGCTGATAGGGCAGCAGGTCTTTGGTCGGAGGGTAGCTGTGTCTGGGGTTGATGCCCAGAGTTAGGTTCAAGGGAAGAAAAAGGACGTCGGGGTCCCCGGCATCCAGGGCGACTAGGCGGCCATCAGGGGAGACGTCGCCCTCCGTCTCGTCCGTGGCTTCCTTCAGGTCCTCCAAGCCCCTGGAAGGTTCCTGACGAGCACCCTCGCCTTGGACGTCGCTGGACATCGTCGAGTAACCCTCGTCCCGGTTTCCACTTTCCGGACTCTCGCTTCCCTCCTCCTCCGATGGCTTTTGCCCTGAAATTAAATGGCAGTGTTACCGAAATTAAATGACACCGTTAGAAACTGACATCACCACAACATCTACTGCCTTGTTAATTAAGTACTTGTTGCTCTGCGTGCAGAAAAAAATGTTGGTTCAACAAAGATGAGGTACCTAGAGGCCTGTTCCTGCGGCATTTCGCGGTGGCCATGACAGGGATTTGGAGGTTCAGAGAACGCGGCCTTGACAAGGGTACCCACGAAGAGTCCACCCCGAGGGCCGCGACCAGAGCTGCGGGACCAGCCTCGATGATGCCCTGGATGAGGTCCGTGGGACTTCCTGGACTCGTGGCCTGGGCAAGGAGTCCCGACAGCGCTCGATTCTGGGCCTCCAGCTCCCGGATGCGCCTCTGAAGCGCCCCGATTTCTTCCCTGAGTCCCTGGATACGAAAAAGAAAAAAAAATTCACCATTTGTAAAACATGGCCGACGCTTAAAATGAGCACTGGCAAAAACCTGCCAATAGTTACAGATTGGGAAAAAGTTCCCGCCCAAGAATAAAGATGAAAACTATACTTTATGATACATGATACAACAAAATATAGCCCAAGAATTCTGGGCAACTTTATTTCGACAAATATTCAAAATGTCCACCTTCAGGTACTATACAAGGTAAAAATCGCAATTCGTAGATGAAGATATATTTCGACTGGTCAAAGCACACGAGATATTCCGTATAATGTTAAGAGCAAGTTTCTATATGTAGGTTAGAATATTACGGCGAGTGCGGCAGAATTAATTGTACGAGTGAGCGATCAAACTCGAAAATCATTACGGAGAACATACGGTGGTAGTAGGTAGTAATTAGTATACGTGGTTAGAAAGCGATTAATAAGAATGTCATCAATTTACAATTGATCAAAGGAGGTAGCCTCCCCAAAAAGGAGGCTTGGACTTCGTTAGGAAAGCGAATTAGCCTTAATAAAACTAATCAGCTCATTAATCAAGGTAATTGACTTGGCAATTCGCCTTAGAAGTCAGAGCCCGAGGAGCGTCCAAGATGGCGGCCAACGGAGGGTGCGAAAACCTTCTTCCCCGGGACTTCGTAACTCAAAATTATCGTATTATCGTATTACAGCCAAATGATTTCGCGAATGAATCTAATTGATTATTTTTTTTTTGTTTTTTTTTTAATTATTTCCCGAGGTGACTAGTCATTTATTTCTTGATTAACTTAGTCCAGCTCGTAATTTGTTGACATCGGCAGCCAAGGGATTATGGAGAGATGGCGATCATCGTAGAAAGGAACCTTTTGCGACAGGAGGGCGCGGACCACCTGGTTGGCGACGTCGTCCAGGCACCGCTCGTATTGCCGACGCTGGGCGTCGGCGTCCCTAGCCAGGGCCGCGTGTTCCGACTCCAGGGTGGCCAACCTGGCGACCAGGGCTGCGTGCACTTCACCTGCACATGCAGCTTCGAGGCCTCGCAGCTGACCCCGCATCGACTCGCTCTCCAGCTGCAGCTTCGAGATCTGGGCCTGGTACTGGTGCACGCGTGCCTGAAATCCAGTGCCTCTTAATTAATAACCTTGGCCCAATAAAAATTATAACATATAAATAAAAGTCCTAAGAGTGAATTATTATACCTGATAACCGTTTCTTTATGTTTTGCCGGGTACACGTTCCTCCGTACGGAGGTACCCGCCAAGTGGGGTAACATATGGGCACAGTGGGTAGACTTTATATAATACTTTTTTCAGGATTAAATGAACTAATTAGCAGTATTTGTTTGATTAAATCATTTTATGAACATCGACGGACGATATCAATATATGGCTGGTTTCGCTTTAGTGCAATTGAAACTCCTCTTCGAAATTAATAATCAAATAAACAAATGGAAAACTACTTCAAGGAAAGTTCATTTAAATTTATGAAAGCATTTCCAGACAATTTATATAACGCGGTACCGTTGCATGTGTAAGTCAATTAATTTAGTCATTTTAGGCGATGAACGTGATTTTATCGCTTCATTTTCCTGACTACATTTTTGCGGAATAATTTATTCGGAAAATTGGACCCCCCGGGGCTTCGCGCACCGTTTCGCGGTAAATTACATCTCCGGGTAATTAAATGGGAAAAAGGAGCGTGATTAATTTTTTATTGTTATCGGAGGCTAGAAAAAAATGAATCGCAGGTAACAGCTGGACGGGATGTGCGCCTGCCGCAACAGCAAAACTCGGGGCAACGTTATTAGCAGAAAGGCATTTAACGTTAAATTAGGGCTACAAACCTGTCAGGGACAGGGGTGCTAATAGAGGGTGCGTGTGTCTGATTTATAACTTCGGCAGGGAATTGTGCGACCTCGACTAATGCTCGCCACTCCTCGAGGGTCCGTCTCTCCTCGACCCTGAAGAGGATCTTCGCGTTTTCCCTGCCGAAGTCGACTTCCCCGGTCCCGAGGTCGACTCTATGATTTCGACAGCCCCTTCGGCGCAAATATGCCGGCCAAACACGGGGATGATAAATCGAGCAACCCTGTCCTTTATCTCGCTCTTTCACGTTTATTCGTCACGCGAGGGCGCGGAATTTCGTCGCTTCTTCAGCTCGAAGGGGTTGAATGGCGGTCGATAGCAAACGAGATATCAAGGGACACTCCCTGAAGTGTAACGCGTCTTTTAGAACGTAATCGCCCGTGAACGAGATAGTGCTCCCATTTATTGTGTTACATGCAAGGGTTGGTACACGTCGGGCACCCTCCGTGCACTCGGGAGATGCACCCTTGCACGTGGGGGATGAATTTGAATCATAAAGCTGGCATTCAAAATTTATGCCAACGGTAACGTAAAACCTACCCTGAACTTCTATTAAATGCGGACGGTTGATTTTTATTCACACGACTTTCGAGGGAATTTTTATATTCATATTTTACGGCATGATTTCACGCCGGGTGTGATAAACCCTTTAGAATTTAACGTTTTTGGGGCGAGGGAGTGCTCCCATTTATTGCGTTATGTGCAAGGGTTGGTGCACTCTGGAGATGCACCCTTCCGGGGCCGAGGGTGCATTTGAATAACAGTCACGTCGCGGCAAGTTGAAAAAGTGCACGTCCGTTACAAAATGGAATTGTCCCTGGGGGCTTGAGAATTTTTAATTTTCTTTCCCTTTTAAGGAGGTTCTTTATGATAAGTCGTTTAAATTTAACAGTCCATGCACGTAAAGGGTACTGTTTAAGGGACGGGATGTCATGCACCCCTTGCATTTCTCTCTTGCACCGTGAGATGCACCCTTGCGTTGAGAGGCTGAATCTGAATAACAATCATTTTACGGCAAGGGTGCTGTTTTTTTTTATGCGATATCCTTATGGCGGATAACCCCTTTTAAAGGGGATTTTTACAAAATGAGATAATGAAGGGCAACTTGAATTGTCGTGCAACGACCTGTCGATAGAAAGGGTGCGTCAAGCCGAAAGAGATGTTTATTGGATAAGGGGAAACCTTCGTACGCACCCCATGTTCCGGCTTCCAGGATTATGCGTCTTCGATTCTATTTTTTTCCCATTTTTTAGCTAATCTTGTCATTCTGATCCGCCATGGTTTTCGACGGTAATATACGTATCACGATCCACATTAACAAGGCAAACTTCTAATGCAATTAATAAAGATCAGAAATTTATTGCTAAGCAAAGGTACCTATCATATGTTAAGGGAAAATTGGAATAAATGTGAAATTTCGTCAAAAGATCATTTGTATATCTTCGGCTCGATAGAGATGCATATATAGATTAAAAAGAAATTAATATATATATTTGTAAAATTTGTAAAATTAATATGCACCTCGTAAGAAAGGGTGAGCGCCGTCTTCTCTTGCTTCAACTGCTCGGCCCGTTGTTTGTGTTGCAACAACCCCCGAGAAGTCTCCTCCATTCTGAAAAAAAGTAAAGCACGTCATTAACTTTCACGCGCCGTTATCTATATAACTAGAGGTCTAATCTTAATTGGCGGTTTAATTAAATTCACGTATCTCGGCGACTTCCGTTCCGAAAATATGAAAAACTCGGGTTAATAACCCCCATAACTATCCCGAAATTTAACGAGGGCCCGTACATTGAACTCCCCGAGGGCGTGTTAATACAGTATTTCAAACAAGGATTAACGACTGTAATTCATCAAGTGGCTGCATGCTGATGTGGTTCGGACAGGAGAAATGGAATTTAGGCACGACAAGAAATGGGAGGGACGTATTAATTAAACGGGTAGCGGTATGGAAATGCAGCTGTCCAGAAATCGGAGATAAATCGGAACGACCGGAATTTCGAGAAGATCGATCGACCAGGTGAGAAGAAATACGGAGGAGGAAGGAACTCCCGAAGGAAAGCGAACGCGAAAAGTCGGAGCAAGGAGGAGCCGCGAAATTGCGCAGGGGAGAAGCGGAAATCGCCTGATTGTAGATTAGGCTTTAGGCGGGGCCTAATGAAAATTTATGGCCATGGCAGATGCATAATAAATCATTGGCGGGTCGTTAACAAAGATTCGACCTCGTCGAGGTCCTCCCCCGGGTGAACACGGGGATGGCCTTCCGCGTTATAGCGCTCGCAGACGAGGGATTAATATTTGCGTTATTAACTACTGTTATGTCCTCAGGAATACCCTTAAGACCCACCCACACTTTGCAGGTCCTGCTTAATGAAAAGCACTTTTGGGCCTCCACCCTGAGGTGCACTAAAGGAGTCTCCTATTCCTCCTAGTAGCTCGACCCCTCTTCAAGAACGCCTCAAGCCGTACGATAATGTCATACTTAGGTAAAATATACACCTTAAAATTAAAAATGACACTTTAACGACGAGGGATTAATATTTGCGTTATTACCGCTGTACCTTTAGGAATACTCTTAAGACTCTACTTAACGAAAAGCACTTTTGGACCTCCACCCTGAAGTGCACTAAAGGAGTCTTCTATTCCTCCTCGTGGCGGAACGATCCCTCTTCAGGGAGAGTAATATATGTTTAAGGGATGAAATATTTAAAACAAAGATACTTGAAAATAGAAAATAAAACTTTCACGTGGAGGAATTAGAATATAAATATTGGGTGGTTGAATAACAAATTGTTAAAATAAATATTAACTTTTGGGGCAGTGGAAGGAGCGAGAAAACGAACTCAAAGGATACCTTTCGAAGAAAGAAGGGTGAAAATTCGATCCGGGAATTATTTTACAACAAGGGCGCTTTGACGACTCGCCCCTTTGTGTTTGATGAGGAGGAAGAACGTTCCTTCCTCCATCTCGATATTTTACTTCATCTCGGGCCGAGGAGCTGAACGAGAAAAGACATAAACAATAAGAAGGAGAATAAATGAGCGGTCGAGCCGGTGGAGGCAAAGAGGTCTCATGAAAGAGTCTCCGGGGAAAAGGGGCAAAGCCATGGAAGCTGTAAATGAAAAGAGCCGATAACATTAACGGGCTCGCTCATTAAGTGATCCTTCGATGCATAGAGCCGAATCGAAAAAGAGCTAATGAGACTTTCTGTCATGATCGATCACCATAGCTGACTTATTGAGAGCGGAGGAGAGGGCGAAGTCGATTTCGCACCACTCCGGACATTGTCCGGAGAATTATTCAACCCGAGAGCGATTACTTAACGCCTTGCAGCTTGTAAATCGCGGCAGTAAAACCTGTCATTCCGCGAGACATACAGCTTCCATTGACTGGCAATTGCCCATTGAACGCTCCGAGAAAAATCGTGGCCGGGACAACTTATTAATAATGGATAAACGCAGAAATCCAATTTATGTTTTTACACCTGGGCATTTGTCTCTCCGTTCAATTTTATGTCCAATTAGCCTGAATTCGTTTAAATGATTCTACCAACATGTCTCATAGCACTCCTAAAAGATGACGAATTAAGGATACGTTCCGTCTAAAGTAAATATCTCCACTCTCTTAATATTTCATTTTAATATCGATGAATAATTACACAAGAGTTTCTCAAAATATGATAGACTTATAATGTAATGAATTATTCGGGAATTACAAAACCGTAATTATTGTTATATCTTTATGATGCACGGTGATGCACCTTGAAAAGGTGCCATTTATCCAGTCTCGAGCACAGTTTTATCTTATTAGGAAACATCGATGTGCATCTCTCCCCATGAGATCAATCGAGCGTAAAGCTCGCTTCGAAGCTCTTTTAAGGTTTTAAAAGGGTCTTAAAGATGGCGAGCCCTCTTCTCAGCGTGCAGATATTCGCTTCGTTGCGTGTCGAGCTTAAGAGGCGCTCAGGCGTTATGGAAATCTCGGAAAATCGCGAAGCAGCCATTCTTCATCTTTTCTCCGGTAGATTTTTCATTCGCATGGAAAAGACGGGGGTCCTTGAAAGCCTTGGTCGTTGAAAGAATGCCAGCAGGAATAGGAGGCTCCTTAAAGTATTGTCAGTGTCCTTGGATACTATATTACGGTTAAATATCCGATTTATAAGATACTCTCGGTAATAGGAATCATTTTCTTCCAACTTTAAAAATAAAACCAGGTTCTCCATTGACAATTAAAATTTGCATGTATTTAAAACACGAAAATCTTGATATATGTATTCTAAACATTAAAAATAAAACCACATTCGTCATTGACAATTAAAATTTCCATGTAATTAAAACACAAAAATCTCTTCTTTTGTGCGGATATACAGAATGTTGGCGTAAAGACACTCGGTACCGTTCGCTTAGCTTATAATGTTCTTGGCATGAAACACGACCAAGCCTCACGACCTATGTATTCAAAACTTTAAAAATGAAACCAGGTTCTTCATTGACAATTAAAATTTCCATGTATTTAAAACACAAAAATCTCTTCTTTTGCGTGGAAAAGACGAGGACAAAAAGTTCCTTTTCAGCGGAAGTAATGGCAGAGCTTCCGGATCGGTGCTTTCCGTTGGGGCCGCCCTAAAAGAATGCAAGGTCCTCCTCGACGCGCTCTTCATCCGGTGTCCTGGGAGTCCCGGAGGTCCTTGTAAGGTTCACCGACTTTGCATTAATTATGAGGGAACGAGCCGAGGAGGTGGCGACGATGACTGGAGGGTCCATGAACAATGTTGAGCAAACAGTAATCATAAGAGCAAACATCGGAGTATGCTTCTGGAATTGCACCCCTCTGATTCTCCGAGATAGACCATCATGGGGCGTTGACTTTTCTTTGGGAATTTGTCCTCCGCTCCCCTCGGCTAACTTTCTTCCTTGTACTTTCGGATTAATGATGATTAGCAAAGGGCGGATTAACGCTCAATTAATAATCTTCAGCAAGGAACTAAGGAGCTACTTCTGGGGACCGATGTTATACTTCGGATTATAAAGAACAAAGGGACAGAAGCACAACATTTTTAATATATATATATACTGTACATCTATTGCTAATTCACAAACATAACTGTGCATATTAAACTTTGGTTAATCGACGGTAAAATATTTTATTATATTCGCTTCTTCTTTTTTTTCTCAGTTTTAATATTTTTCATAGTGATGGCGAGTTTTTGGAATTTATTCCTTTTGGATGAATAGGGATGTTAAGTGATAACGAAGTTAATTTAATGATCAAATAGCCTGAATTCTGTTGGGAATATAATATTTCGAAGTGGTCGAAGAAAATTCTCAGCAATTACAACTGCCAGCTGGATTAGGGCAATTCCTCCCTCGTTTAGCACTCTCTCCCTAGAAACACATGGTAGCAAACTGTGCCCCAGTGATTTACAACTATTGCCTCGCAAACTCGATTATAATGATTCAGGAGCATATTGCGCCTCCGAATTACGAGATGGTTTCATTTCCCCTCCTCTCCCAGGCCTTTCATTAAATGATAATAACCTAGCGTGCCTTCGGTATCGAATTTTTGGAAATACCAATCGACAGGTACAATTGCGCTCAATGTATAATTTTTGTCCACTTCCAATCAATTTCCGAAATGATCCAAATACGTGGAGATAATACAGATGATCTGGAAACGAATCAGTTTATTTGGTGATTTATCAAGATTTTTATGGTTTTATAAAATGCATGAATTCTTGTCAAATGATAAGCACCGAGTATAACATGTCAGGTGAAAATGAAATGACTCGTAAATTACGGAAAAAAATATTGCGTGAATTTTTCATCTCGCCGACTGCGTTTCTGCAAATTTATGTGAAGAAAATGGCACCGCAGGTGCAAGCCACGTGTTTGCTGACATAAATACGCACAACGTTCGGACGTTCATTAATCACTCGGATTTTACGCGAATCCGAACATTTGGTAAAAAAAATGAGCGAACTAATAACAAACGAAATTTGGTAAATTTTCCCTCATGTGAAGAATTTTAAATTCGATTTTTCATGAAAAAAAAAAAATTCACTGCACGAACGCAGCGAACATTTTCACGTAAAATTGTATTATTGCGGAGGACATTACAATCGCCAGCATTAACAAAGAATTCAGGGAAACGAATCATCGAAATGATTTTTCTCCCATAGTGTATTGTCTAACTTAGAGATATGATTTTTCACTGGAAACCACTATCATGAAGTATAATTACAGAGCTGTACAGGTGCGAGCCACGTGTAGGCCGGTTCGTGTCCGCACCGGAAGACGTACATTAATCATTTACACATGCCGTACACGCATCATAACGCTGCGTGGTCGGTTTGCGTGAACATTATTACGGGAAATATGAGTTCCGAACAAAACAGTTAGGTGATTGGACTGCCTAATTTGGCCAGACACGATGCCGAATTATATATTCGATTAAACTCCTCCCTTACGCAATCTTCGCCTAAATATCCGGATAATCATTTTCCCCTCACGAAATTCATATTTCCGAAATTTCAACTAAATTAAACAAGGTAAATATTCTCTCCGAAGAAGATGCAGAACGTCCTCCCATTTTCACATCCATTTTTCGCGACCA